CGACAGTTGGCTGCGGCAATCGCAGAAAGCTGCAATTTATGCAACATGCTGGTAGGCTTGATATATCACAGGGCGGCCGTACATGTCCTGGATGATGCTGGAAATTGCTGCTGCCTGACACGGCAGCGACTTGGCTGTGACCACAGTGGCAGCAGCTGGTCATGCAAGGACCGTTGGCATCAACGTAGGACGGAAGCTGCGATTGCTCTAGAATAGTTCTGCCATTGAGCTTTGTAGCTCTACCTTGACGGCTGCCGTTCCGCTGTACTTTCTTATTACATGATCCTCATCCAACTTTCGGCGTTTGTTCGCGAAGCAGTGAAGGGGGGGGTCGGCACAATCCGTGGTTCCGGGGATCCTGCTGTTGCGCGGTGTTTTCGGCCAATACCGCACGCTCGGCACAGTCCTGTTCCGGCCCCGTACACTGAGGAGGCCGACGTCGTGGGAATATCCTAATTTTTTGGCGCTCTCCTGCGTAACGTCTGGTCCTGCCACAGTGCCATGCATTGCATGGGGTCAAACTGCTGCTTCCGTGGTTTTTCGCCTTGCAACCGACCGAAAGCATAGTCATTAGTCCTGCAATGTCTTACAGTATTCAGCCAATCGGGCTCTGGGCTGTGGTCTTGCTCTACCCGCCGTTTCTGGGGAGGCGGGGCTCCGAGCTTTGGCATGGCGTCGCAAAGCCCCAAACTTTTTTGCACATACCTGCATGGATGTCACACCTAAACCGACCGCAATCCTAAATTCTAAACCCTAAATCAGAAACCCTGAACCCGCACCCTAAGCCCAGGTGTAGTCTCCCGCCGCTGTTTCTGTCTACGGTAACCTGTGCCTTTTTGGTGTGCTGCGGCAACTTTTTCACGTCGGGGTGGCATAGCGGGTGGGGCTTGACATCCAATTCATCCCATTCGGTTTTTGTTGCCTCCCACCTAGCTCGGACGAAGCCCCCATTCGGTTTCGGGTTGAGGGTTCAGGGTCCCTACACCCCAAACCCTAAGACTAAGGGTTCCCGGGATTGTCTCATTCCCGCTGCCAGAGAATGATTTTCCGAAGCCTGCAGGTGCCTTGTGCTCCTTGTGCTCTCGTTTGTGGCGAGGCCCCAGTGCCATCTCTTTCGATGAAGAGGGCCTGCCGAAACTCCTGTACAAACATGAGCAATCCTGAACTCGGGACTTTTTCCAGCAACGATCTCTAGGCCTCTATGTAGATGAATAGATCAGGATGCTAGGGTGTGAAAAGTATGATGTTACACAGTTTTACATGAATCGTTCCGATATAGCCACCTCAATTTGCGGGGAGGTGGGTTGAAAGGTTGGGATCGTCTGTTCGACCTTGGGACAATTACACAAGCCCAAAAACACACCAATATAACAGTGTATATGCAGAAACATAAATGAAAGACTGAGTGTAGGTGTCAGAATACATCTAACTAGTGGTTATGCGTATGTTTGTGCATTGTAACGGTGGGTCTAAAGACTTCTTTGTGAAACATGCACACCCATCCCTTTGCATGGAAACTTATGTGTTCACATTCATGTTACCCATACACACATCTATATGTATACCTATCTATCTATCTATCTATCTATCTATCTATATAGATATATAATATATACACACACATGCATGCATGCATGCATACGCATATGTATTTTAGGGCCCCGGCCATGCACGGGAAATGCCTACTCACACGGGACATACACATGTATTTATGTAGGTACGTGCGTTCGTACAGTAGAGTCTGTGTAGTACTGATGGGCATTAACTAAATCACAAGATCACCGGATTTGCCGTGCCCGCCCCGAAACAAGCCCCAAACATGTGTGCGGGCTCTTGCTCTATAGGCAGGTGCAGGTGCTGCCGCTTTGGCAGCACCTGCCGCAGGCCCATGCGCTAGGATGATGCAATGGTTTCACGCTGTACAGGGAGCTTGGTAGCAGCTGCGACGAGCGTTTGCCCCCAACATTCCTACACGGCTCCAAAAAGTCGCTGCAGCAGTCGCTTATCAGGGGTAGAGCGCATGTCAGAGCCACTTCGGAGAGACGATCTAGACTAGACCTAGATGAAACATTATCGAGGCTCCGCTACAGGCATGTCTTGCCGTCGTTCGAATGGTACACCGATATCGCGATATCAGATGGCCGCGTAACGCCAGATGGATCACTGACACGCTGCAGCCTCGCCGGGCTGATTTGCAAGTGTAGGTGCTTACAAAAAGATGGGCCAGGCAAGTGATGCTATCAGGCACGACGACTGACCTCCGTCGTCGGATGCAGGGCTCACGTTGGCGTCAGGACTATTAGGGACCGCATATTCAGGCCACAACGATGGTTGGCTGGATGGTGTGGTTTGTCAGACATTTCACATCTCGAGTTGTGCTTCCTGCGAACTAGCGGAGACCTCGCACATTGAAAGCCCACAGATGGTCAAGCTGATCAAAACCTATCATCTTGCTTGACTCTTTAAGGCACAGAGGAATACAAGTCATCGGGGAAGCCGCCGTTTACTACAAGTGCCGCTGCAGGGTCTCTGTTGGGAACATCTAGAGAACCGGTACCTCAACAAGCACGCATGTCTCAAGATGTAGAACACCAAACCTGGGAATCTGGGCATCTGCGGCTTCAAGGGGGGTTTCCAGAAAGGACTGACAGAGTCATGTTTTGCCTTCTCTGAACATTCCAGGGTGTCATAAGTAGTTATGGACTCTGTCCATTATTGACACCACAGGTGTTGCGAGGCTGGAGGCCAGGACGCGCGTTCCCTACGGTATCCGAAATTGCCAACCTCTTAGTTTGGATTCCTGTCTCAGCCATGGTTTAGCATGGTGTTCTGGCGTTCTGAAAACCCGCTATGAATCCCATATTCGCAAACTGGGTTATCGTCTTTCTTTCCTCTTATCGTTTTACAGTGCACGACTACCGGATAGCCAATGCTCTTCAAAAGCTAAATGTGTCAAGCAGAAGCTACCGTTTGTTGTTTTCGTTTTAGGCACGCAGCTTGCCTCGGATTTGGGAGGTTTCATGTAGCAAGTCTCAACAAAAGATTCAGCACACACGCAGAGACGCGCACAACACCTACCTATCTCGGCACCCGATGTCTGAAGCCCTTTGACATGGTGCAGGGAAGGCACATACCTTGCAGCATCCTCATGCCGCCCATCAGCTCTTCATGCCTTCTCTGCATTTGCTGCTCCCGCGCCTCGGAACAGGTTTTTCGTCCAGGGTTTGATGCAGGGGTCTCTGCCCAGTTCTGCGAACAGCATGAGCCGGCGAATCACTGAAATGGTAATGCGGAACATCCCTAAACCCTAAACCCTAAACAGCCGCCGCAGGTACCATGCAACAGGTCGATGAGCACTCTAAGGGGCTACTAGTGTTACTAAGTATGGTGTTGGGCCCATCTCTTGGGGTGAGATTCAAAATTAGGCAGCTATCCATGGTCAGGCTTAGGGCGGTGAAAACCTGACCGATCTATTAATGTAGGGACGATGAAGGGAAGAATAGTACTCATGATTCAGGCATAGGTTTAGGCTTTTGGCCCTAGAACCCCACAGCCTAAAGCCTAAAGTTAAAGCCCCAAGTCGTCAACCCTAAACCTTACGAGCCGTAACAGCCATACGCCCCAAAGCCCTGATCTACACCCCTTTGTCTCGAAAGCAACTTCCACAGGAGGAAGCCATGCGAGCAACTCCAAGTATCAGCCGCATCGATCCCTGTACTCTATGCAGATTGCAACCATCAATCCTCATAGTAGAAACCCTTCGCTACAAAATCATCCCGTACGCTCACAAAGCAAGTCTAAGCAGACCAGGACCTAGGCCACTTCTTCGGCCCAAGCACCTTTGCTTGGCTCATTTCGGCGCGAAGCGCCGACAGCTCCATCATCGCGGCAGTGGAGCCTCAGGGTTAGGGTTTAGGGGCTTATAGGGATTCTTTAGGGTTTGGAGGTTCAGAGCTTATAGGGTTTAGGTTAGGTTGCTAGCGTGTCGGACCTTTTTGAAGTTGCGATAGGGGGCCGTTTTTCAGGATTTAAGGGTTCAATTAGGAAGTTAGGTCTTTTCAGGATCGATCTTTCGGGATCCTGGCAATTTCAGGGTTGCCCGGGCTTAGTGCGTTGGAGGTACCTGTGATCTTTGCTCAGGAGTTGAACTATCGGAACCGTTTCGGGCCAGAAACCCGTAAACTCCTAGACTTTAGGGCTCAGGCTGACCCACGAAGCGCTAAACCCTAAACCCCTAAACCCTTTAATCCCCTAAACCCTAAACCCCTAAACCCTAAGCCATCCCGAGGCTTCGAGGCTCTGGGGTCTAAGAAGGATGTTTGCTTTCGGGAAGCTCGAAAGGGTTTTGGTATGCAGCCAAAACAAACACGGACGGCCGACGCCTCCTAGGCTTTCCGAGCTCGTTCTTCTTTCGAAGTTCAGACATGAAGCAACCCTAAACCCTAAATCTTAAGCCCTAAACCCTAAACTACCCTAAACCGTTTAAGGGTTTAGGGCCCTGAAGCTTCGGGTGATTCGGGCCCTAAAGTTGAAGGGCTCGGGCCCCGAAGTTTCGGGTTTAGGGTTTAGGGCTTATGATTTAAACGTTCAGGGCCATAAAATCCTAAACCCTCTGCCCGTACGCCCTCAAGCCCTAGCCACTAAGGCCTTAGTTGCCCGAAAGCTTCGCACAGATCATCCAAGGAAGGTCGCGGGCATTGGGTTTCGGGTTGAATGTGTAGGCGCCTTAATAAATAGAATAGGGTTCTGGAGTATTCTTCTTCTTCTCGAGGCCATGTGTCCGTCACGAACGCGCCTAAAGCAATGAATTCAGGGGTGAAACTTGAGTGAAAGGGCCTGAGCTCCCGCCGCGCCATTGCAGCATGCCAACAACCAGCCTTGCAGATCACCGGCGAGGCGACCGGAGAAGCAGAAGGAAAGGTGACAACGTCTGCCTAGCGCGGCAAGGGAAAGCGCGAGGGAAGTCCAACTCAGACATGCGTCAAGCCATCGGGAGTGGCGACGCAAGGCAGGATGGCGGTTCCCACAGAGGCGAGGAGGCGACAGGGGGGGGCGGGATCACGATGAAGGCACCCGCGAAAGGAAGTCCAGGAGGCGGTGCGTGGTAAAAGTCGTAGCAACGCCAGCCTCCACCTGGAACAATGTCAAGAGCGACCTCACCTGCAGCAGCAGAAGCGCCACAAAGCAAGCCTGGGAGACCCGCAGGGCGTGGCTGCCAGACGAGGGGCACAATTAACGGGTCCAGCACGGCGTGCCGATTGACACCAGGCTTCTCTGCGTGCTCGCACAACAGCTCAACCCGAAAACAGAGCAGAACGTCCTCAGCAGCCTCACGCAAGGCACCAGCCGGCAGTTCGGAGATCCAGGCCTCCAAAGTCTGACGCAGGACAGGGAAAGGTGCCACAAACGTCGAGATGAGCCCAAAAATAGACTCGTCGTCACCACTGGTGAGCGCACGAAGCTGTGCAAGCAGCGGACCCACAATCTCCGGACGTACCTCAGGAAGATGTGCCGTGCCACAGCCAGCGATCGCTCGGGCTTGCACGTGTCCGCTCTGGCAGTCCAGAACAGGTAGCAATGAGGGAAGCTCATCCTCAACGGCTTGCAGGCAAATACGCGAAGATCCCAGATGGTTGCGAAGCCGCCCCACGCTTGAGAAGACAGACCCACAAGCTCGGCATCGGTTGCCGCGGGCATAGCGATACTGCGGCGTACGGTAACCGTGTTTCAACGCAGCATGCGACGCCCAGGACTGCGACATGGCAAACGCACGTTTGCACAAGAGGCAGCCGTGCTGAAATCCCGAGTGATCCTCGACAGCCGCGGGGCGAGTAGGCCATGCAGAACGCACGAACTTTGACCAACGCACACGCATAGCACGGCAACCGTTGTGCCAAGACGCAGCACGTTTCAAAAGACCCTTCCAGTACCGCGGGCTAGAAGTCATGGCGGCGGCCCAACTCTCCCAACCAAGCCGAAAGCAGCCAAGAGGGCTGGTACAGGACAAAGCCCGGTGCAGCCAACCGCAAGCATCATGGAGCGCAAAAGCGCCCATGCCTCATTCGGCCCCGTGCGAAGCAAGCGGCACAGGAAACGCAACCGTTCGAGACACAAAAGGTCCGATGGGTCCGATGCGTCACACGCGACGAAAACTTCATCCCGAGTACAATGTTGGGCTGCTTCGCCTCGCAAGCGGAGCAGCTGCCGGTGCATGGACGTGAGACCCTGTTCGAAGGTCTGCCAGGCACCAGCACACAAGGTAGGCCACGCTCCTGCCCCTGCCAGCACAGCCGATAGGATATGCTGCCGAAAAAGAATGACACGCCTAGCAAGGCTGATTTGCGGACAGCAAAACACCCTGCGCCGGCCTTCGCCAAACTCAGCTTTGGCACGCAAAATGCGTGCACGCACATCTGCAACAAGGGATCCGTTGTACGAGATGACAGAACCCAAATGCCGGTAGGTCGGAACAGCATCCAGTTGTACGGACTGGGCATTCTCCTGGAGCACCGTAATCTTGCCCTTGTTACGACTGAAAAGGGCATCACGAGCTGCCTTCGCGCCCCGACCTCGATGAACGAGAAGTGCAGCCGTTTTCCGAGGCCCGATGTTCGCCGTGAGCCCATGAGCACGAATTGCATCCAACGACCGACCAGTGACATGTGCAACCGCTGCGGTCAAGCCAGTGGCGTCCGGGGCGACGACACAGGCAGCATGATCGTCGGCGTAGACGATGTCGCGCACAACGACAGCATGGCGGGTGCCATGTTCGGCCCGTGAGTAGGGCTCAGGGCGTCGGCGCCCTGACCAGTATACGGTCGGGGTCATGTCACCTGAGAACACCCCACGACGAGCGAGAACACGTTCAAAGAGCAAGCTAAACGCGACATCGGCGATGCAGCTGCCAGGACGAGTGCCTCGAGTAGTGCGTATAATCTGCGGGTCCTGTGCCACGTGAAACCATGTGTCGCAATGCGCCTCCTGCATCAAGGCCCGTAAAAAGGGAGTACAGTCATCTCCATCCAGAACCGGCGCAGAGGTGATGTAGTGCTGTAACTCCTGAAGAGTGTCGGTTGTCAGGTTGAGCGACGCCGTCACTGCCTCGAGCGGGTCAGAACTGTGACGCGCACCAACAATAGCTTCACGGACAACAGCATAATAAGCCGCAGCAAGGTCTGAGAAGACTAGGGCTGCAGACATACCTGCGTGCTTAGCTTGCAGTAGAAAATTTCGGGACATGAAGTGCCCGAGTTCAAAGGAAAGGCCCTTCCTGCCGCCAATCTGCAGTGGTGCAGCACGACGTTCGAACAGTGCTGCCGGCAATCGTCGCAAAGTCTCGTGAATCGCCTTACTGAAAACTGGCTGTAAAAGGATCCCTCGTTGATCCGCCGCAAAAGAAGAGTTGGGCGAGGACGCTTTAGCGATATGGTGGAGGGTCCCTCCTTTCAGTCCGATGCCCTCAGTCGCAAACATCATGCTTTTGAGCAAGATCGGCCACAGCAGACGCGCAACAGGCAGTGCGAAGCGAGCGCACAAGGAGGGGGGCAACAAATCCGGGCCAGCGGCCCGATGTGGCCGCATGCCGCGGAGAGATGCAACCAAGTCACAGAAGGAGGGCATTTCACTCGCAGGCACCACCTCAAGGGCACCTTGCTCCCGCTGTCGCTGAGTGCAGCCTGCAACAAGATCCGGAACGGGCACACATGCTCCCCCTTCCAAAGACGCGAAATGCCTCCTCCACTCATCTGTAACTTCAGCAGCAGTTGTACAAAGGGACCCATCTGGACGCTTGAGTCGGGGCAAGGGTTGCGGCCCACCACGGCGAAATTTCTTGGGCCGGAGAACCTTCTTGATAGCAGCGTGTACCTGTCCTGGTGGGGCGACATCGGCCTCTTCGGCGAGGGCCGAAAAGAAGGCCGCACGGTCACGTCTGCATAAGCGCCTGACCTCCTTGAACGCATGGAAGAAAGTGCGATGGAGAGACGAAGCTGGTGCAGCCATCTGCCAGAGAAAATCGTAGTAAATGGCTTCTCACCTGCCCACGCGACAAAGGCGCAGCGCAACACCGCCGACCGATACGCCACCAAACGCCAACGCAGGGCATGCCGCAACACGGCCGTCCGATGATGGACGCCAGCAGTTTCTTCTGTGAGATAATGTTTGCCCATGCGGCGTCCCTTGAGAGGAAAAGCCCTAGATAGGCCATCATAAAGGGCGTCCACAACAACAGCAGAATGGTCGTGCACACTCACGTTCCACTCGACCGAAGGGACCGCAGCACAAATACGAGCGATTGCCTCTTCATTCTCTGGCTTCAAAAGCGCCTGCCCATCAATACGCGGAGCCCGGCTGTGCTTGACTGGCGGAGCGACACATAGCCCAACGTCGATGACGACAGCAGAATGGTCAATAATCGCATGACCAGCCGAGATGGTAGGCTCTACTCTGCCGAGAACACTCGAGGTGCCCCATCCGCATGGAATGACAACATAGTCACTGCGTGCAAGAGCACCAGAACGACGCTGGACAAGTGTCCCGCCGTCACCGACGAAGGACCCAACAAATGTGCTGGGCAGCCAAGCGCCGCATTTCCGCATTAGCCCATTTAAAGACCCAACAGCATTGCTTTAAGC